AAAAAAATATTAATAACTATTGAAGAAAATATCTCAAACCGCGCATTCCTACACCGTGCATCGCACGGGTGAGTTACTAGTTTGGTACAAGTGTAAGTGATCGTATCAATTAATTGTAAATCCCCACGGAATTAATTGGGGAGAAGGATATAAGAGTCAATTTCTTTAAACTTGCATATGCCGGGGAACGGGGAAGAATGATATGTAAGCAACGCAAGCATATTAAGAGTCCGTTTGATAGCACGAAAATCGGCTGTTTTGGCTGTTTCTGCTGAAATTTATGAAGTTCTGGCTGAAATGGCTGTTTTGGCTGATTCTGCTGATTCTAGAAAAAAATATTTTAAAAATATATTTTATTAATAAAATAAAGAAAAAATTACATGTAAAAATAGCTAAAATGGTCATCTACAGTAACTTCAGCCAATACAGCCAGAAAAGTAACTCCAACCTTACTTTTTCTGCTTATTACACAATTCAGCACACGAAAGTAAAAATTACGTGTTTGGTGAAAAAGCTGGCTGATAAGCCTGATAAGCCGAAAAAAGAGGTCTCCAAACGGGCTCTAAGTAGTTTGCTGGATATTAGTTAGGCAGGGGTATATTTGATAATTCCTATGCCAAACTTACTCATAGATCATACGTATAGTCTCTTTTCTGGCAACCATTAAAAGAGCTCCTGTATTTGTCCAAGTCCATTTATTTAGCTATATTGATGACCTAACCCCTTTATGATTAGATCAAATAATAAATATAATTACAATTATAATTAGAATTATAATTATAGCTATAATTATAATTAGTGTAATAGGTATTATTATTATAATTTACTTTTAATTATATTTATAATTATACTTTTATAATTACGAATACAATTATAATTATATTTATAATTACAATTATAAATATACTTATTATAATTATAATTATAATTATAGAAATATTAAAATCAGATCAGATCAGAAAGATTCAGATCAGATCATAAGAATTCAGATTAGATTTCCTCACAACTCACATATCTCTGAAGGAAAACTCAAATTAGATAGTAATATAATCAACGTTCCAAACATCTGACATGAGGTAGTAGTTAATCTAAAGCGAATCAACCAGATCTTTTCAGCAACTAACTAAATATTTGACTCTATACTCCAAGCAAGGTGAAATCAAAATGAGGAATGATGGCAGAAAGTTTTGCTAGGATCAGATCTAAATTCTTTTTCTCAACTTCACGCTCCTTCCGCATTTGTTCTAGTTCGGCATCCTTTTCTCCTTTTTCTCTTTAAATCTCCTTTCTCAAAGTACTCATTATTGTATCCATATCATTAGAAGTCATGGCATACGAATTGTCCAGTCTCTTTTGTATTAACAATGTCTCTCTTGGTAACACCTCTTCCACACATTATTGAATTGAAACACCATTTTTCTGCCTCATAATTTTTCATTTCAATCTACAAATGACATTGACGATAAACAATACTAATAAAACAGTAAATATATAAACTGGTCAATAGTTTTTTACTCAAATCATTTTACTATAAAGAAAAAATTACGGCTCTAACATATATCTGTTGGAGCAGTATTTTTTATGAATGGTTAATAAATGGTTTCGAATAAACAACTCTGTGAGTATATAACTTTTGGACACATTAAAAGAGCCAATGGATTCCTGAAAGACTAGTGTATAAACAAAATAAACTCCTCTGTAAGTGTGTGAGCTTACCACACAAAAACAAACACTAAAGGACGTACTCTGTATAATTTAATTAATGTTGTACTATATATAGGGATAAGATGAATGTATTTCTATTGATTTCCCATAGATAAACAACGACCGTTCATTAATAACTCTTACTATTAGTCAAGTATAGAACAACGCCATATACCGACTTGATAGTAACATTTAATCTCTTAACTCCTTGATGAAATCAATTGAGATTGATAACCTCAACACAACGGTTTCGGCTTAACCAACAAAAATAACCCCTCTTAAGTTTATTAACCACAACCGTGCATTAATAAACCGAAGTTACTTACTTGTGAAACTATCAACGATTAACCATTGGTTCGTTGATCGTTTCTAGTAATAATTAATATATGAAACAAACTAGTCGATCCTTTAAGTAATGTTAAAAATATTAATATGAAATATGAATAGGAATTAATTAATACTCAAGGAAGAATATTAAAGAAGATGAATCCTACTATAGTTAATATCAAGATGTTACCTAATTGTCATCTTAGTAACACTCCCCAATATTAACATAGAGGAAGAAATAGCTATTACTAAGACCAATGTCAAGATGTTAACTAATTGTCATCTTAGTAACACTCCCCAACATTGATATAGAAATAGTATTTAAAATAAGAATTAATATTCAAGGAAAGAAGTTATATCCATATATGTGTTGGTATCCATATACTCATGAAAGCTCAGAAAATAGAAAAGTAAGAATTCTTTATATTTCTACTAATTAATAATTTTTTTTAAATAAAATAAAAAGAAAAATTATTGCCTTTCCCCGGCAACGGCGCCAAATTTGACGTGCACTTTGTCGTGGTGTGCACTCAAAATAATAATACAATACAACAATTATACGTAGTATAATGAAGTAAGGTTCGTATCCACAGGGAAAGGAACACTTCTCTTTTTTATAAACTAGTAACAAGGGGGGGGGGTTAGAATTTAGATTGAGTGAATGAACTTAAATTATATTTAAGCACGAAGATGAACGAGTTATGTGGTTTAATTAATGTGAAGAAGACTTGGCTTTGCTTTTATCCACTTAATGAAATGTTCGTTGATCCCGGTTATATCTTTAACTATCTTCCTCTCGAATACTCAATCGAGGAGTATATCCAGTTCATCGAGGGTAGTTATTAATAACGAGACGCGTTCATTAATAAAACTTACTACCGAGTTAATATATATAGAACACGCGCCATATATTTGCTCGGTAGTAGCAATAAAATCAAGATGAAAACGATTGAGAATGATAACCTCAACACAAGCGGTTTATTGATTTAATCAATATTATTGATTCCTCTTAGGTTATTAACCATGAGACACATGCATTAACAACCCAAGTTTACTACCGTGAAAGGACCGAGTTAATAACAAGCGTATTAATCGACCGATTCTAGTATTAATTAATATATGAAACAAAACTAGTTGTTCCTTTAAGTAGTGCTCAAAATATTAATATGTAATAGGAATAGGGATTAATTAATATTCAAAGAAGAAGATTAAAGAAAATAACTCACAACTTACAATTCATTAAGCTTCAAAGTAGCAAAACCAAGATGGAAGAGTTTAGCTCCTCATTTGGAGACTAAACATGAAGAAAATATAAAGAAAGAACTTATCTAGACTGAGCTTAGAAGTATATAGGAATTGGTGTCCTAAATGGGAGGAAAATGGGGTGTATTTATAGGTATTTAATTTTGAGGTGGCTGGGTCTGATACCCGACCGGGTATGTAGAATACCCGATCGGGTATCCTTAATTGCTCGGAAGGTGCTGAAATCACATTCAACCCGACCGGGTTGGGTCAAAACCTGACCGGGTTACGTATCAAATCGGATATTTCCCACGTTCTCTTGATCTTGAACACTTTCTTTTGTTCTTGTCAACTCAACCCGGCCGGGTTTTATACCAACCCGACCGGGTTTTGGTGCGTAGCTTCCCTTTGGCTTCATATGTCACTTCCAACCCGACCGGGTTATATTGCAACCCGACCGGGTTTGCTACCAGAATTTATTTCCACCATTCATCTTGCCTTCTTTTGGTGCCTATAATACTTCCTTGCATCCCTTATGGTACTTACAGCAAAATACACACTAAAAATACAAAGTAAAACCTAAAAAATAAATCTATAGAGTACATCACAAACTAAACTAAACAATTAAAAATAACAATCAAACAATACTAAAATAACAAACTTATGCACTAGGAAATAGTGCATATCACATACTCCCTCCGTCCCGCTATTAACTTCCTACTTTGACCTACACACATATTTAGTAAATAAATTTGACTTTACCGTAGAGTACACTGTTTCGACACTGTTTGGAACTGTTTGGCACTATTTGACACTATTTTGATGTAGGGTAACATTCCATTTAGGGAAATGAGAAGATTGTTTTGGGACGGCCCAAAAATGAAAGTAGGAAGTTAATAGCGGGACGGAAAGAGTATATACTAACAAACTCTCACTTGGCCTAGTCCCAATCACCGATGTGTCTAACACCTAGACTCTCAAAAGTTTAGTGTGTTTCTCGTATCTCAAAGGTTTTGGTGAAAAGGTCAGCCAAATTTCCTCTATGGGAACGCGTTCTATTTCAACTTCTCCTCTTGCTATTTGTTAACAAAACATGATAGCGTTAGGGTACATGTATTTTCTAGTTCCTTTATTTGCATCTTGGTTTCTTAGCTTGTGCAAATGCACCACTAATGATTAGATTTATTATTTTGAGGACAAAAATATATGTTGCTCATAGTTTAGAGAATATTTATGCATTTAACTCTTGCAACAAAAATTCTTTTACATTAATAGTATGTGGTGCATTTTGTATGTAATACGAAGTATACATATATTTAATTGATTTTACATTTTTTATATATTTATGTTGATTAAGGCATATTGAAATCAATTGTCTATTTGAATGTCTAAGGCCTTATAAATTATAATTTCTCTAGAGCCTGGTACGGTATATGTATGAAATAAAATACTCTTAAATGGTGCAAAACCATCTCTAATCATTGTGGTATTAGGTACGACTAGTAGGGGTGGGTACATGTACAGTTCGGTACGGTCCGAGATTTGGTTTATCCTGATCTGGTTTTATAATAGTTGTTCGGTACGGTTTGGGACAAGTCTTTATCATAAAATTGTCCCATTTAAATCGGCACCAAGACAATCTGAGAAAGTCCGGGATGGGTTCGGGGCATCCCATAAAATCAGAACTTTTGAATTTCATAGGAAAAAAAACGAACATAACATCAAAATAAAGACACCCATTTCTGCAAATCTAGCTTTCCTAAAAGGATAAGCAAGAAACTATATTTTCCCTTGAACATGTTTCATTCACAGTGCATACATTTCAAGAGCAGTAGTACAAAGATGTTTACATGTAAAAAAAATTAGCAAACAAAGTCTTCAAGTAGCAATTTAGAAAAGAAGAACAAAAGCAAAACACTTGTTTACACGTTTCACGAATCTTACAAGCAATTTAACAAATCGTTAGGCTTCTGAATCTACACAAGTAGATATTTGCAATGTATAATTAAAAGAAACACAATCCCTATGGTCTTCTCCCTCACATTCTTCTTATCCAGGCATTCCCGATGTCCCAGAGTAGTCGGATGCAAAGCAAACTTCTGAAGCGGGCTAGGTTAGATATTTTGTCTCCAGACTTGAGCTAAAAAGTTTGATTGGGCTTGCGTATTAGATATCATTAAAATTTTAAAATAACCTACTTATTTGAAATGGGACAGCGGAGTGAATGAAATATTTTATAGGTATCTCGGTCAAGTCCCATTTGATACCAGTATGAGACCGGTTCAGGATGAAAAAATTGGATCCTAAATAGATTGAGCTAGTTCCGGAATGATATCAGATTTTTGGTTTGCGACACCGGAACCTAGATTATTGCCCACCCCTAAGTATGACCGTATGAGCTTCCTAAACCTCTCTCCAAGTAAAACAGGCTTTGAGTAAAATAAAGAGAGTAAAAAACAACACAAAATAAAAAGGATCGTGGGAAAAAATCAACGTGGATCAACTTGAACCGGGAAAAACGAGAAATAGAAACCAGAGGAAAAAACAGAGTATTTCTTTTAGTGCAAAACGAATTAAGAGAAGAATAAAAAAACAATAAAAATAAACAACAAAGCAATGGATGGAGAAAACAGATGAAAGGGGTTCAAACAGCGGATGGATGGAAGAACTGCAGAAGGAGAAGAAAAAGATGCATCAGGTCCTGTCGTGCAATCGTGAAGAAAAAGACCGGCTGAATTTTGTGGTTGCTGAGGGTATTATCGTCCACTCGATTCAAAATTACTCCTAATTAGGGTTTAAAAACCTCTAATTCCTCAACCCAAACCCAAAGGCTCGAATTCCTACTTGTATTCAAAGACTGTTTTCATCGTATATAAGTCTTATTAGCTACGGTCTCGCCTTCTCTACGGGATAAACATTCTGATCGATCTGCTGTTATTCATTCCTATAATGTCTAGTTGTCGTAACAGGGAAACAGTAATAAGCGACCTGCCTGATGAGTTAAGGGAAAAAATATTTGATTGCATGTCCACTCTAGACACCGCCAGAAGTGCTCTGGTCTCAACTCAATGGAGGGATGCTTGGTACCGCCGAGATCGGCTCGTCTTTGATCAGGCCTTCTTCGAAAGCAAGCCTTCTTCGAATAAAGAAGGCTTGTCTATGACGAGCCTAATATACAACATTCTCATTCTCCGGTCTGGACCTCTTAAGAAATTTACGTTGCATATTCTTCGCTCATGTGGATCTGATCCTTGGATCCAGCAGCTTGATATAGACCGGTGGTGTCTTTATCTGTCCAGAAACGGCATTGAGGAACTTCACCTCTCTGGTCCTCATTCCGGACCAAAATATAAGATACCATCCTCTCTATTCTATTGCAAGACCATCAAGCAACTGAATCTTGAGGAATTCACTTTTGACTTGCCGGTAAATGCTCCGCGTGTATTATTCCCCGGGTTGAAGTCAATAAGTTTTAAAGGTGTTTGGTTGAGGGGTGATAATAAGGGACTGCTCTGCAGTAGCATGCCGAAGCTTGAGAAGCTAGTTTTGTTCCATTGTTATGCTACTCCTAATTATAAAATCACCGCTCCTGAACTTAAAAGTTTGACCATGTGTGAATATTCAACTCCCGGAAGGATATGGCTGACGCTTCATTTGAGCTCTATTAAGACCCTTTGCATCTATTTGACTTGGGTGAGAACTTCTTTCCCGCATCTTACCTCCTTTAGTTCGTCCTATTGGACTGTACTTTACCAACTTTAAATTGAGGTTTGTAGAGAGGGTAGACAAATTAGTAGAATCACAAATTTGTTACTTTAACGGGAAAATGACAAAATTTTATGAATAACTAAAAACAAAAGTTGTTCAAGTCCAACGAGATGAAGAAAGTATATATATTGCACTTATAGTTCTTTGAGATTGATTTGTATGACTAACATATTCTCTTTTATCACCGAAAATGTAAAAGTTAACTCGCATAGCTAAATAAGAATAAAGTATTATCCTTTCGTCCCTTGAAACTTTCCCTTCTTTGAATGTTTTGGTCAATCAAGGTCAACTTTTACCAATTAATATTTTTATAGGAAGTTATTTATTTGTTAGAAGTACTTTCATATAAGTATAGAACTTACAACATCCCAAATATTATACGTAGTATTACGTACTACTCAAAATCATGTTATAAACTTTACCACCATTAACTTTAAATGTCAAAAATGGCAAAATTTTAATGGACGAAGGTATTAATAATTAAGAATATTATGATCCCGTTTGGTAATCACTATATTAAACTTGGTATTTGCAGAGTATGAAATTGGTGGAACTAGTTGAATTTAGTGAAATTATTGATGAAGTTTGTAACTAGAAAATTGGTGGAATTGATGAAGTTATGGTTGAAATTCTATGGGAATACCATAAAATGATGTTTAAAATACTGTATATATATTATAAATACAAATAAGTAAAGAATACGATAAAATAATTTCAAAAGGTAATTTCTGAATTATTTATTCAAATTATTATATAATTCAGTACATAAAATATAAAATGTGATATGTAGAAATTGACTAATAAGGTTGATAAATTAAAATGGAGGTTATCAAACAAGCTCTATCTAATTTCACATTTCTTATTCTATTCATTCTTAATATTGAGTACATTATTCTATTCTTATGGACCATTTTTTAGTCCAGGGACTGAATTGAGTTTACAAGACCGGTGCAACGGCCTATTTGATCCTTTAGCCTAATACTCTGTCTGTCCCTTAAAACTCAGTCATCTTTCCTTTTTGGGATGTCCAAAAAAACTTTGTCACTTTCCATTTTAATCAATTATTTTGTGGTTCCTGTTATTTCTCTCTCCTCTGCACAAACCTCAACCATATAGTTTTTACTTTATTATTCTCTGTGCCGGTTAAACATGACCAAGTTTTAAGGGATGAAGGTAGTATAATACAATAATATGAATGAATAGTCACGGTAGTATAAATTTTGAATGAGACAAATGAATAGTTAGTGGAATAAATTTTACGTATATAAGTATGAGGTCTATTATGTTTAATTTTAGCACTCTATTCTTCCTTCTTCAGTTTTGTTTTTAATTTGATCTCACGGAGAACATTTTTTTGCATTTTATTATTACTATAAGAGATATTACTATAAGGGTACAACTTATACGCTGGACTCAACAGCCTTCCCAATTGCGCTCAATCTGCAAGAAATCAAACTTCATGGCTTCTGTTTTGATACTGACTACCATCTTAAGTATGTTCTCCAATTGCTTAATAAATCCCCCAAGCTATGCGTGTTGGAGATTGAGTTTGAGAACATGATTAAGTTTGAGAAAAGATCTGAAGTAGCTAATCCAACACTTTTGGAGAATCTTATTGAAACTGAATTGAAGATGCTTGAGATAGTGAAGCTCAACCGATTCCAAGGATCCGAAATAGAATTATGCCTTGTGAAATTACTACTGTCAAACTCGCCTGCACTCCACCATGTTGCTATTCATGAAGATCTAAATATCAATGCATCTTTGGCTTCTGAGGCCACAAAGAAAATTTTAAACTTTCCCTGTGCGTCTCCCAAAGCACAAATTCTCTACAATTCAAGGATCTGAATTCCTTTAAAAAATAGTTCAAATCATGGCTAGTGGTATGAGTGTCCTATTATCATAATACGGATTACGGAGTATATTATTCACTTGCAAAATATTTTAGCTAGTTGATTTGGCTGGTTTGGAGTATGTGACTATATGTATACCCGTCGGTCCATGCATGGTAATGCATGTACATGGTAATTCATGGTACTTATTTGGTGTTTTTCAGCCACATTCTCGGCATTGGTTGTGAGATTTCTTCACATATAATGAGGGTATTTGATAAACAGTTTATCTGCTCTAGTTTGTCTTTTTGAGTTGATAAGTCAAATACAATAGTACCTCATTCTTTAAGTACTTGATAGTTTTTGAAAAATAACAGTATCAATTGAAACAATTTAGCTAATTTATAATATATTATCTTAAAACTAGCTTAGATAATACGGAGGAAAATACTTAAACATGAGGAATTTACTGATCAATTTAAGTATGTAATCAGATTAAGGAAATTATAAAATTTCAGTAAGGGAAATATCACCTTCAATCGGTGATTATCAATTTCACTCAATTATCAAACTAATCACTACCAATCCTCTCAGTTACGTGGGTGTTTGGGCATTTGGCGATTGGTTGTTGGCGGTTGGCTATTAGCTAATTGATGATAGTGGATTCTGTTGGTTAATTAGTTGTTTTGATTATACGAAGTATTAGCCAATAATAATCGGTTTGTAAAATGGTGTTTGGTTAGATAGTTGTTTCTAATTAGCCGATAAATGACTTGTAAGGACGAAATTAATTATTTTTTTGCTTACTAACTAATTGTACTGTATGTACGTATCATACAATTTTTGTAATTAATTTTAACACGCAACTAGAAAAACCATTTTTATCAATTAAATAAGTGCAAGTAATAATGCTTTATAACAATTTATAATCACAGTGACTACAACCATCGTAGGAAATCATTCACTACGGATGATAAAGTTGAAGTTCATTTACGATGCAATTACAAGTCATGGCGTCGTCCTTTTTTTTTTGAAAGGAAAATTGATTATATTATGAGGCTGTTTGGTAACCTCATTTTTCGGCTTATCAGGCTTATCAGCCAACTTTTTCACCAAACACGTACTTTTTACTTTCACGCGCTGAATAGTGTAATAAGCAGAAAAAGTAAGGTTGGTGTTACTTTTCTGGCTGTATTGGCTGAAGTTACTGTAGATGACCATTTTAGCTATTTTTAGATATAAGTTTTTCTTAATTTTATTAATAAAATATATTTTAAAAATAATTTTTACTTAAATCAACAGAAACAGCCAAAGCAGCCACTTCAGCCAGAACTTCATAAATTTCAGCAGAATCAGCCAAAACAGCCGATTTTTGTCCTACCAAACGGGCTCATATCAACCAAACTTCTCACAATACTTCCCCCTTGCAATGCCAAACCTTCTCAATCAAATCTCTAAGAATACTACATACCTCCCTTGCAACACCAAACCTCCTCGTGAGGCTCCGCATAGCCCAAAGGCCCCCCCACTCTCTGGCTAGACTTAGAATAGACCACCCCCGAAGGAGCGAGACTATTCGCGAACCATGTGAGAGTTTCGAAGCTTTTAACGACCAAACAAGCCTTATCGCTTCCACCAAGATCAACAACCCAAACCAAGCAAGACAAAACAAACACCAACCTACCACTAAAGTTCAAAGCAATGATTGACCTAAGCATAACAAAATGGAAATAATAAAGTAGACTGGACTTAACATAATAAAAAATATCTAGTAAAACACTCTTGCAAACCCTATCCGCACAGTTTCTCCATGGTGGCGGCTCAGGAGGAGGACGAATCATCAACTCTTCGTCTTGCTTCTCCCTTTCCGGAAGTTGGAGGTCTCCGTCCCAGATCTGCAAAAGCCGCATCAGTCGCCTTCCCATCCGTTTGGAGACCAAATCAAACCCTCTCTCCAAGCTCGAGCCCCTCAATGTACCTCCCGGATCAAAAATCACTGGTGTAGCTTCCATCACAATGACCAACAAGGCTAAGATAACCCATCCCAGCATCGTATTATCGCGCCTCGCAGCCCGTCGGCCATCGATGTCACCCTGCTCCATGTCTTTTGTCCAAGATACGAATCGAGTTCGTCCGGCAAGGTTGCTGACAAATGACTCCTGCCGGAGTCCTGTTGCTTCCCCGCTAGAAAATCTGCCGAATTTGCCAAAGATGGCTTCGGCCGTGGAAAAACTGCAAGCAAAATTTGCCTGACCAAACTAAACCCTAGCCAGCGGCTAGGCCCTCTCCGCAGATGTCATGGCGTCGTCCTTCATCCTTAAAATCTAAAATGGAAGAAATAATAGAATTTCTTGAGAAATAGCACCAAATAAATAAACATCCTTTTTAATAACACTGATGAGCCTTTCATGAAAAAAAAATTAGCCTTTTTTTCCTCGGTGCTCACCTCTTATCATCATCATCATCATCATCATCATTGTTGTTGTTGTTGTTATTATTATTATCAATATTACTATTACTATTACTATTACTATTACTATTACTATTACTATTACTATTACTATTACTATTACTATTACTATTACTATTACTATTACTATTACTATTACTATTACCATTACCATTACCATTACTATTACCATTACCATTACCATTACCATTACCATTACCATTACCATTACCATTACCATTACCATTACCATTACCATTACCATTACCATTACCATTACCATTACCATTACCATTACCATTACCATTACCATTACCATTACCATTACCATTACCATTACCATTACCATTACCATTACCATTACCATTACCATTACCATTACCATTACCATTACCATTACCATTACCATTACCATTACCATTACCATTACCATTACCATTACCATTACCATTACCATTACCATTACCATTACCATTACCATTACCATTACCATTACCATTACCATTACCATTACTATTACTATTACTATTACCATTATTATTATTATTATTATTATTATTATTACTACTACTACTACTACTATAACTATTATTATTACTATAACTATTATTATTGTTGTTGGCCCATGACTCTTCTGATGCCACTTGTAATGAGCCTTTATGGAACTATTGCCACGTAAGCCCTAGGAATGGTCCAATCTCCAAGGGATTTCCATAGAGCCTGGCGCCTGCTGTCCAGGTCGGCTCAGGCGTGGCCAGCCTCGTAGTGGATTTGGATCTCCCTGTTCAGGCTTTTATGGCTTCGTCATTGATCCTTTGTCTGGGCTGGGCCGGAATTAAGTATCTGTTTGTGTATCTGGGTTATGGGTCAGGCCCATAGTACCATCAATCCTTATATAGTGTTTTATTGTTTTATAGCTTTCCGATGTGAGACAAATACTTTAACAATTATTGGACTTTAATAATTATTCAAATTCAAAACCTAGCATGTTTTCGAGTTTGAAGCTTGTTATGCTCAGATCATTAAATTAGAAGCACAATCACGCTCGAACTCGAGTAATTAAAAAAAGCTCAATTCGATACCAGCCCTGTGCTAAACCTTGTATGTTGTTGAGGTTTATTCTTTCAACCTTTGGGTCCAACACGTAAGCCCAAAGATTTCGAGTGGAGTGGTGTAGGTGTATACGAATAAACTAGACCAACAAGCAAATAAGATGGATCAAGAGGCAGCAAATAGCAAGTAAGAGATCAGGTATTATTAATCAGCTAATAACTCCCTAATACAATACGCTTGCTAAGGCTCGTCGGCCGTTCGTCTTACAAGGCAGTAGAAGAGCTGCGAGTAAGAGCTAAGTAGCTAGTGCACTAAAATAGTAAGTTGTCAACCCTTTACAATGAAATAAATGCTGCTATTTATACCATCAATGGGCAATTGGCTACGCTGGCGTGGAGGGCTATGTGTGGCTGGCGTCTTAACGACCAAATCTCCAGCATTAAATGCGTTTCCTGCCAGAATCTGGGTTTCCCACCTAACCCGTGGAGACGAACGTCCAGCTGAGAAGGGAGCCTGCTCCTGGTGATACTGCAAAGGGTAATGGGCCGTTCGTATCCTGGCCATTGGAGGATTTGTCACAGGGATTGGATTGGTACCCAGTTGCTATATCTTTGGGCGGTGACGTTCGTCGCCGTTGCGGTTGTCTATGGGTCTGATCCACTTGTCTTTGTTCAGACGTTCGTCGGGGCAGGCTGCCCTATTGGGACGGACGTTCGTCCGGATAAGGGGGTGAATGGGCCGACCCTTTACTCGGATCATTAACCCAACATATGTATAGTCTCAAATATTTTTATTGCTTAGTCCACCCCACATCTCAATCTTGGATCCACTAATATCCCCATACTTAAATGATATATAGTAGTTTTACATTTTTTATATATTTATGTTGACTAAGGCTTATTGAAATCAATTGTGTATTTGAGTATCTAATCATTGTGGTATGAGCTTCAAGAACCTCCCATATCATGTTGATCTAGTGAAAAAGCAAAACATGCTTTGACTATAATAAAACGAATAAAAAAGAGAAAATGATCAAATGAGTACATCAAATTGGGAGCTATTGGAGTTAGAGTACACAATAGTACAAATGTGATTCAGAAGTACATAAAACTTGAAAATCAATGTTAATTTAATACGAACTAATATTACCACATTTAAAACGCTAATTTGGCAATAATTAGCATTTGTGTGGTAAATTAACTTTGGATTCCAACCCTTAGCCGCCACCCACTTTGATTACTGTTGTCTGTTGCTCCCTTAGGATAAATGGTTCCGCCCTGGTTTTCCTCTCTGCCAGGGAATCTCTCTCTGTCTCTACCATGACACCATACCCTCTCCTCCGAACTCCTTCCTCCGCTTCTGCCACCTTCAAGATTCCTCCCCACCCGCCACGGGTGCGCATCCCTTCGATCACCATCTATGTCCATTCACCAACTCAAACAGCCACTGCCACATTACTTCTCCCACTCTCGTTCTCTCTCAGTTTCCATCTCTCTCTCCTCCCAATGCCGCAAGCAGATCCGGCTACCTCAACCTGCCATAAAAAATTCACCATGAAACTCCCCCACATTCTCTCTGATTCCAGCTTCCCCACCACACCGACCGACAACATTTTCTTTGACCACCCATACGCCACCACAAATTGTCCCTTACAAACTTCCTCCGGCTAGAATTGGGAAAATTTCCACTCTCCATCCCCAACATCCGAGTGCTTCAAATAGCTACAGAAAAACAATGCCCCGCTGCCTCATATTCCAAAGAATGGTATGGTTAGGATTTTATTTTGCGGATGAGGTGGTTATTATTTGTCTAATCCATTAGCCAAAGTGATTTAAACATACTAATACAATTTGGTATTAATTTAACATCGATTTTTCACTTTTATGTACTTCTGAATCACTGTTGCATTATTGTGTACTTTTTACTCCATGGCACCCAACTTGAGATATAGTCATTGACACTTTTCTAGAATAAGAAAGGACACCTATAATAAAGGATCGCGGGAAAAAATCAAAGTGGATTTGTTGGAAACCAGGTAAAACGAGAAACAGAGACCAGAGAAAAAATACATCAGGTGTTGTCGGGCAGTCGTGAATAGGGGTGGGCAAAAATACCAAAAAATCGGTATACCGCACTTACCGTACCGAAAAATACCGGAAAATACTGAAATATTGGTAAACCGTCATTTTCGGTACGGTATCATACCGTACCGATCTATTTCGGTACGGTAACGGTAAATGTACGTTTTCAAATACCGCGGTATACCGGTATAATACCGTACCGACTCCCTACTCAACAATTACTTTTAATTCTAATATATTGTAAAAATCCATTACAATTTTGAAGCCCAGAATTAATACGGAGTACTTAAGTTGGTTACAAATACAAAAATACAAAAAAGGCCCAATTTTTCAAACCCACTATAACCTTATAGGCTTCTACTCCGCTATCCTTAATGACTAATCAGTAATGTACAAATGTCAAGAAACAAGTCTATCTTGTTCCAAGAGCTTGCAAGTTGTGATGGCTGGGCCGCTAAGTAGCTGACGAGTGAAGAGAGATACACTTATGTGACAAGTGTATCTACATAGGGATTCCGCAAGTCGAGACACACAAAGTTGTTCGAAAGTCTTATTCAATTTTTAAAAAATTATAAAAATGACTTTATAATTTTTATATCCATGTTGTTTGAATAGTTTTATTTATTTTTATTAGAGATCACTATTGATGTAATTATATCTATATTGTTCAAGTTATTTTAGGAGAACATGTTACTTTTTAATATGTGGCATGTTGAACTGCTTAAATATACTAATAATAATTATCGTTCAATATTTAATTGACATCAATAGATTATTAATTGTATTTCGTAACAGTTTAATAATAGATTTAATATGTCGCTACTAATAACGATTTAGTATATTTTGTTAGTCCATGGAATTTTTTTGTATTGGAAGACATGCACGGTAATTTACCGATACCGTACCGTTACCGAACCGAAACTTCGGTATACCAAAATGCGGTATACCGGAACTTCGGTAAGGTAAAGGTATGCAAATTTTGCATACCGGAAGTTTTGGTACTGCAAAGGTATGTGAAAAAATATAAGGTATATCGTACCGAACCACCCCTAGTCGTGAAGCAAAAGACCGGCTGCATTTATGCTTTCTGAGGGTATTATCGTCCACTCCATTCAAGATGACTTAAAGTGTTCAATTAGCCCCTTATGTAGGAGGTTCTGCCCGGCCATCGCTAATTGGGGCGTTTCCCGGTGGAATGTTTTCATGAATTTTTTTGAGAATCTTCTTCATTAAGTCCAGTTTACCCATACCAAATTTCAGCTAAAAATTCAACCAAGAAGGCAGTCAAATGATTTTCTGAAATGTACTGCGCTGTTTAATTTCGCAGTTATCTTCAAAAAATCATTTGACTGCCTTCCCGGTTGAAATTTTAGCTAACATTTGGTATGCGTAGACTAGACTTAATGAAGAAGATGCTCAAAACATTTTATTAAAAAATTCCACCGGGAACCGCCCCAATTGGCGACGGCCGGGCAGAACCTCCTATATAAGGGGCTAATTGAACACTTTAAGTCCGTTCAGGGGCCTATTTGACCCTTTAGCCTAGATAAGTATTACGGATGGGAAAAAACCTAAAGAAGTCCTACTTCTGAAAAAGTTGCATGATTTGGATGGGGGTGATGCTTCGTGCACCCACTTTTTTGCTTAATGTAACACTAACAAGACAATTTTGCCTCTTTTTCATTCTTTAATATACATACGGAGTATATATATTAAAGCCCACGAACTTACTGATACGCCCTAAGTTTCAATTTGGTGCCGTGTAATTAACAATTGTTTTTTTATTATAAAATTTCATAACTTTTTCTTTTGTGGTTAGATCTTTAAAAAAAAGATCAAAATAAATAATTTTTTGTAATTTTTTATATGACATCAATATGACATAAAATTTTGAAAAGAATACCTCATCTGATCTGTTCTAGTTTGATCCAAAGTTTTAAATAGCGGTATTAATAACAGTAGCAGTCATCGCGGTAGCGGCTAATGCGGTTGCTGCGATGCATATAACGGTCGCAATGGCGTGAATTGAAATATTTTCAAGGTCGCACAAGATAGGAATATGAGAATATCATGATTTTGTGTGTTCTTTTAAAAATCTTCTACTAATAATATTGAACATAATTTTTTTTAATTGAATTAATAGATGATAAAACTAATAGAAACAATATGAATACCTCTTTAAACACTTATATGTGAACAACGAATCAACCAATAAGAATATGACATCTAAAAGAGAATAATAGTGGTGTAGTACAATATGTGAACAACGAACAAATGAATCAACACATTTTGGACTGGACTACACCATTGGGGTCGGTGGCGGCCTTGTTGCAGCTGGTAGCGGACCGCTATTTAAATCCATGGTCGATCTGATCAGATATATGACCGGTGGAAGTGAACTTTGCTACGAAGTATTTTTTAAGTCTGCTCTGATTTAGCCTGACTTGTTTTAATCTATCTAATCTAGTCTGATTTCTTTTAGTTTGATTGAGATGAGTTCGAAGTCAATCGAGTGAAAAACATCCTCTTTCACATGTTTGCACATAAAATAAACTTAATACATCCTTTAATTTAAAAATAACGAAATTATATACTCCGTAATATTATTGTCTATATTTTAAAATATAAAATGGTACTTCGTAACTTTTACTTACAATATGATTTTTTCACATATATTACAGGGGAAAAAGTTAATACTCATCCGTCCCATTGAAAGGTTTCCATTTTCATTATTTGAGTGTCACATTTAAAAGTTCTCATTCCATTTAAATTATTTTTATAACATCATAAATTTGCACTTGTGGAAGAAGAAAGGTAAGGTCATGATGTTATGATAACTTATTTTATAAAGTTTGAGTATTTATATCACATATACAAGTTTGAGATCGTTATCTTACACTCATCTAAAATGGTATTAAATTTAAATCTCCCTAAACAAAATGGTTAACTTTTCGAATGATGAGATCAATTGTATTATACAAACACTTGGTTTTTGATCATCAACTCTGACGGCTTAGATTAATAACCAATAATAGTTCAGAGTATGGGTCACCAGACATAAAGAAAACTGATAACTGTTATTCTTCGAATCAGACTCGGAATTAATCGCCGTAGCAATACAATTCGCTGATCCATAATCGGGAAACAAAAAGTCTAATACGGTTACCAAATTCCTCTCATCTCCCATATCCAAAATCAACGTCTTACAAACAGGAACGATAAATAAAAAGCAAATAGAAAGACAGACACTACAATCACTAAAAGAACAATCAAAACCAATAAAATAAATCTTCTTCAAAAACCTAAATTTGCTTGCACTCCATGGCGGCGGCTCAGAAGGGGGTCGCTCGCTCGCCACAACCTCACCATCAGACATGTCCCCGAAGCTTTCCATGCAAATTTGTTGCTTGAACCTTATGCCAGCCCCTTGCTGCAACTCAAGGCTCCTTCGATCTAGCCGCCTCCAAACAACCGTTCGTCTCATCACCGTATTCAACTGGCTAGGCCTTCTTTATACAAACACATGGTTAACAAATACAAAAACGTGGTCCAAAAAAAATACAAAAACGATTTATTTTAGTAAGAAGCTGTTCTCTTAAACTGATCTGAATGTTTCTGATATGAATTTTTTAAGTTCTGATCTGATCTGAATTTTTCTGATCTGATCTGATCTGATTTGAATATTTCTATAATTATAATTGTAATTATAATTACTATAATTATAAATTATAAATGTAATTACACATATATAATTTAAATATAATTATAATTATAATCATAATTATTAAAATTATAATTATAATTATAAACGTAATTATAATAGGTATAATTATTATTATACGTATTACACTAGTTATAAATATAGCTATAATTATAATTGTAATTATATTTATAGTTATATTTATTTCTATAATTATAATTTTAATTATAATTATAATATTTATTTCTATAATTTTAATTGTAATTACTCCGTATAATATAATAATAACGAAAACAAAACTAATAACAATAACAACAACAACCATAATAGTAGTAACAATAATAATAATATCATAGTAATCATAATAATAATAATAATAATAATAATAATAACAATAATAATAATAATACTAATAATAATACTAATAATAATAATAATAATAATAATATCAATAATAATAGAAATTATAATAATTACAATAACAACAACAAGAATAATAATTATTATTATTATTAATATTATTATAATTATTATTATAATAAAAGGGATAAATCATGTCTGAACTTTTCTGATCTGATCTGAATGTTCCTAATCTGATCTGATCTGAATGTTTCTGATCTGATCTGAATAAAATAACAATAAGCAATAAGTAATAAGATTAAGACGAACACAACCGCCTCTAAAACTGATTCCCAACAAGTGTCATTATATTTTAACAAAAAGAAGAAAAAAACATTGGGAATGGCAAAATTGAGGAGGTTCACTCTTTTTTTCATTAACGATTGACGCAAGGGGCAAAATTGTTCGAATATGAAAGAAAGTGTGTGCGCCGATTATTATGGGGTGCGCGGAGAACAAGCGTTTGGATGGAATAGGAACCAGGAACACGAGAATTAAGAAAAGATTAAACAAAAACAATTACGCAGTGGATGGACACAGATGGAAGAAGCAAAGAAGCAGAAGAAAAAGATGCATCGATCAGATCCTGCCTCCGTCTCAATCCCGCAGCGGAAAGATGACCAACTGAATTTTATGCTATGCTTGCTGAGGGTATTGTCGTCCACTCGATCCCAATTACTTCTGGTTAGGGTTTAAAAACTTTAAATTCCTCAGTCCAAACCCAAAGGGTGGAATTCCTATTTGTATTCAAAGTCTGTTTTAATCGTATTTTAAACCTAAGCTGCGGTCTCGCCTTCTCCACGGGATAATCATTCTGATCGATCTGCTATTATTCATTCCTGCAATGTCTGGTTGCCGGGAAACCGTAATAAGCGACCTGCCTGATGAGTTAGCAGAGAGAATATTCAAAAGCATCTCAATTCGAGACGCCGCCAGATGTGCTCTGCTCTCAACTGATTGGAGGGATTCTTGGTACCGCCATGGTCGGCTCGTCTTTGATTGGGACTTCTTCAGAGATTACAAGCCTTCTCCAGAAACAACGAGCCTAATAGGCAACATTCTCATTCACCGGGCTGGACCTATTAAGAAATTCAAGTTGCAGATATTTTGGTCATCTGGATCTGATCCTGTGATCAAGCAGTCTGATTTAGACCGGTGGTGTCTTCATCTGTCCCAAAACGGCATTGAGAAACTTCACCTCTCTGGTCCTTATGGCGGACCAAAATATAAGCTACCATCCTGTCTCTTCTATTGCAAGACCATCAAGCAACTGTATCTTGAGGATTTCAGTTTTTCGTTGCCGGTTAATGCTCCGTGTATATTCCCCGAATTGAAGTCATCAAAGTTTACAATGGTCAGGTTCACGCGTGACGAGGAGGGAGAGGGACTGGTCTGTAGCATGCCGAAACTTGAGAAGCTGGTTTTGTCCATGTGTTCTGGTACTCCTGATTATGCTATCACCACACCAGAACTTCAAAGATTGACCATATTTCAATGTTCAAGTATGGCTGGAAGAAGATGGCTGATGCTTCATTTGAGCTCTATTAAGACCCTCCATCTCCATTTGACTTCGGTGAGAACTTCTTTCTCGCACATAATCTCTTTATTCTTAGATGGAACAAGTCATTAGTTGGTATTACCTCATTTAGTTCATGATTTTGCCGACTTTGATTTAGTTGGTATTCAGGGGCGGATCTATCAAGCAACAAGGGGGGGCAGCTGCCCCCAATAAACTTCCACTAGTCCCTATAATTTATTAGTGAATATTAGAAGCTCAAGTGTTTGACCCCAATAAAAAAAATTGGCTGCCCCCTATAACCCAGTCACCCGCCCCAGCCCAAAGCCCCAAAGTTGGGTAAATTTGAATTTTAGATTTTAGAATCAACAAATTTCGTAACATAGGCCGTATAACGAAGACCTAGCAACAAATGGGTCTGGTTCGGCGGTTCTGATAGCTTCATAGGCTCATATATGCATGCTTTGACACTTCATTTATAAATCTTAATCAATTCCATATTGGATTTTGATTGTGGGATAATTTGTACTTGTACAGTCCTCTCTGAATGGATGGTTTAATGCCATATGTAGTATTAATTTTTATGTAAGTGTTATTATAAAGTTGTTAAATTTTATAGGATTATTGTTGTACATCTATTAGATTTAATTAATTTAATGATTTACTGAAATAGTTATACATCTATTAAAGTCTAATATTTTATATCTACTAAAAATCCAAAATGTAAACAATATGTTATACTATGTATTCCGTATTAGATAGTTAAATAGAATTTCATTCTCATGTATAAAAAGAGTTGTTAAATAAATTGTATTAATGTATACATGACTTAATATCTTAAAATGTAAGGCTAAATTCACTTTTATTCCAGACATAAATAACATAATGAAAGAGATAAAATAAGGAGAAAAAACTAAAGTTATAATGAATGAAGTTATAACAGATCTCTTCCAAAAGATGTAATTAAGTGCATAAAATTGTGATGTATTTTGCCAAAGTTTTTGCTATTGTAATACTACAATAGTACTACCTTCGTCCCGCTAACGTTGGAACATGAGAAGGTGTCACCGTTATTAATAAAAATAGAGGTTATGTGATTATTTAATTGATTAAGTAAGAATAAAATAAGAAAAATTTAATACAAATTTTATCAAATTTAGTATGTGAACAATCTTAGTGGAACGGACCGAAAAGGAAAGATGGAGTAATCTTAGCGGGACAGAGAGAGTACTGTATTAAATTTTGTTCTTCTCGAGCGTTACTTAATGACTTCGCCCCCAATAAAACAAATTTCTGGATCCGCCACTGTTGGTATTACCTCTCTCTCTATTTAAGTTGGGTTAGAACTTCTTTCTCAAACTATGTATAATCTCTATTCTTTCTGATTGAAAAGCAAAAACAAAGTTATACGGAGTACTTTTTTGTGGCAACTGGACAGCCAGCAGCGGTGGTACGCGGGTGGACGGCGGGAGACTAGACTCTAGAGGCAAGCGGCTATAGCTAGGGTCGAAGAAAAAAGAGTAGGAGGTTAATTACAGGGAAAACTGTCAAATAAGTTCTCCTAATATATTCAAAAATCAATTAAGCTCTCCAAACTAAAATAAAGTGTATCAACTTTACAAAAACAATCACATATTCTAAGTCTGGTGAGGTGGGGCAGTCCTAGTGTATATTTTTCAGTTTTCTTCTCCTTTTTTTATTCTTTCGTTCTTCTTTCCTCCTGCAACTTTGTTCTTTGCGAGACATTTCTCCTACTTTCTTCTTTCTCTCTACCGCCTGCCATTTCTCTCCCCCCCTGCTTCTTTCCTTATCCTCTGTTTCTTCCTTGTCTTTCTTGTTAGTTGTTCCTTTCACCGGAGGTTCAACGGAGGTGCGCGCCGGAGGTGTTCGCCGGAAATTTGAGCTCGTCTCCTCTTGTCACTTTCTTCTTCTGACCCGTTCTCCATCTACTTCTTACTGCCCCGCCATCTCTGACTTCTTCTTTCATCTGTCCGGTTCGAGGTCGTAAATTGCTGCCACCCATGGTCACCTTCTCGAGCTAATTTTCGCAGCTGCCGACAATGAACGTCTCCAACGCCATAGCCGCCCTTCTCGCCAGAGTTCTACACATGGAATAAGAAGAAAGATTATGTTCATAGAAAATGGCATAGAAGAGTTCCAAAATGGCGGAGAATATGGGGTGGAAAGAAGACTAGAGAGAAAAGAGAGGCAAGAAAGGAAGAAAAAAGAAAAGAAGATGGATCGGTAGAAGAGAAGCTGGTCTCAGGTAGAAGCAGACGTATAGGAGGGAGAAAAAGTTTGGGTTAGAGGGAAAAAATGGGGAATTGAAGATGGTCTGGGTGCGACGAAGAAAGGGGAGATAGGATGAGGGGGGGGGGGGTCAGGAAGAAAAAACAGGGAAGGAGAAGGTAAAGGAATGAAAGAAAAGAAGAAAATGTCAAAAAATGACATTTGGATGCAAGGCAAGCACACTCAACGGTTAATTGGGTGTTTCTCTAGTTCGAGGTTAGTGGGGTTTATTGACTTTTTTTGTTTACTTCGAGAGCCTATTAGTCAATTTTTCCTTAATTATATAAGGTTTTCTAATAATAACCTAAGGGCATATTAGTCCATATAAATTATTTTTTCATTTATTTATTTATTAATAAATTAATTAAATGTACTGAACTTAAATATTATTTTGGAAAAAAACTAATTAGCTCATAGATTGAGAAAGTAATAGAGTTTTAGTCACACCTAGGGTAATTATCTCAAATCTTATAGTAATATAGTTTTCGTCACACGACTCACACCTAGAATTTGAGTCACACCTAGGTATAGTAGATCATCAACAAGTCAGGGTCCAACGAAAAAAGATAAGGTGCAAATATGGGTTTGTTCTAAGATTACGTAAAGATGAAATTATTAGAACACCTGTGAAAGGTGAGATTATTCTTGTCAATTTTCCTACTTCCTCTGCCCCGAAAAGGTTTGTCAAATTTCCTTTTTTGGATGTGCCAAAAAGTTTTGTTATTTCCATTTAAAGTAAAGAATATGTGGCTACAGTTAATTCTCTCTCCTCTGCACAAATTTCAACCACTTTATTAATTCACGTGAAAGTCAAAGTTGGGGAACCTTTTCGGGACGGAGGGAGTATTTTTTACTAATATTTGAACAACCAATTAATTATAATATTTAGAATCATGTAACCGAGAATGTAAAAGTTTACTTATAATCTTATATAGCTCAATAAGTGTGAAATTGGTTGAATTAGTTGTATTTAGTGAAATTATTGATGAAGTTTGTAACTATAAAATTAGTTGAATTAGCTCAAATATATTGAAATTAATGAAGTTATTGTTGAAATTCTATAGGAACATGATAAAATGATATTTAAAGTATATTACCAGATACAATTAACAAAAGAATACGGGAAAAACTAAATTGCACTCTTTAGTAACTTTAGTTAGAAAAGTAATTTCAAACTTGCTTATTTTGATTATTATATAATTCAACATGTAAAATCTAAATAGTAATGGGTAAATTTTGACCGATAAAGTTGATAAATTAAAATACGGAGTAGATGATGTCAAACAAGTTTTGTATCTTATTTCATATGGAGTTCTTCTTATTGTATTCATTCATATTGTTGTATTATACTACCAAGTATTACTCGTATATGTATGTATATGTACTTCAATACGTAGTATAAATACTGCCTTTCTTATCCCGCAAATTCTTATCACACAAATTATTATAAATTTGGAATGAGACAAATGAATAGTGAGTGGAATAAAATTTTAGTATATATTATTCCTTGGTTCAGTTTTGTTTTTAATTTGATCTCACATCTAACTTTCTTTTTTGCATTTTGTTATTACTAAGAGTATGGATGTTGCGGTGGACTCCCCAACATTCCCAACTGCGATAAATCTGCAAGAAATTACACTTCATAGCTTCGATTTTGGTTGTGACTACCTTCTTAAGTATGTTGTCGAATTGCTTAAAAAATCCCCCAATCTACGCGTGCTGGAGATTAATATTGCGAAAAGATCTAAGGAAACTAATCCAGCACTTTTGGAGGAGATTATTGAAGTTGATTTCAGGATGCTTGAGACAGTGAAGTTCAATTGGTTTCAAGGATCCAAAATGGAATTGTGCCTTGTGAAATTACTACTCTCAAACTCGCCTGCACTCCACCATGTTGTTATTCATGAAGGTGTAGATATCGATGACTCTTTGACTCCTTGGACCCCAAAGAAAATTTTGAGCTTTCCTTGTGCGTCTCCCAAAGCACAAATTGTATACAAATCAGGGATCAAATATCCTTAAAAAAAGAGTTCAAATCCCGACTAGTGGTATCATACTCCATAATATGTTATGTACTTATGGGAATATTCTAGCTAGTTTATTTGGTTAGTCTGGTGCATATGACTATGTGTGTGTGTATTTTTTTATCCCCAGAATTCACCAAAGTGGTGGGGTAAATGTTGGGGAACATTTCCCTATTTTATATGTGTGTATATATATGCATCAGTCCATGCATGATAATGCATGTAGATGGTAATTGATGGTACTTATTTGGTATTTTTTAGCCGCATTCCTGACATTAGTTGTGAGTTGTGATGTCTACTATGCATGAGTTTATCGTTCACCTCAAATTCACGTCTCTCAAATAAAGACCCGATCTCACTAGCATCATACGTACGTTGGGTAATCCTTGTAGTCAGGTTTTCCATTATTTACTTTGTCAAAATAAAAGACATATACTGTGTCTTTGCAGAAAAAAATAACGCATACCGTGTGCTACTCAAAATGTGTCTCATATGTCGTGTTCTATTAATAAAAAGTACAAAGTTACCATGTTTTTTCTAATACAATGTCTGCCAAACAACCACTTGAAATGTTGTATTCGGATGTATGGAGCACAAACACCACCTCGATTGATGGATATAATTATTATGTAATTTTTGTTGATTTTTTCTCGTGTTACATTTGGTTATATCCACTAAAAAATAAATCTGGGGTTCTTTGATCTACGCCTAAAAATCAGACAATGTGCCTTGCACATAGTGATCATCCGATCAATTCAGGGCCCATTCCAGACAATGTGCCTTGCACATAGTGATCATCCGATCAATTCAGGGCCCATTCCTCAAAAAAATCTCAAGACAATTGAAAGGTCAAAGGTGGCCGAGAGCCCGTTTGGTAGCAAGAAAATCGGCTGTTTTGGTTGATTTTGCTGAAATTTATGAAGTTCTGCCTGAAGTGGCTGCATTGACTGATTTTGCTTATTTAAGAAAAAATATTTTTAAAATATATTTTATTGATAAAAAAATAAAAAATTACATGAAAAATAGCTAAAATGATCATCTATAGTAACTTCAGCCAATACAGCCAGAAAAGTAACTCCAACATTACTTTTTCTGCTTATCATAAAATTTAACGCGTGAAAGCAAAAGTTACGTGTTTGGTGAAAAAGTTGGGTGATAAGCCGAAAAACGATGTTGCCAAACAATGTGTCCACAATTTTCCCTCAACTTCACCGTCTGGTTGAAAATTTTTAATTTCTGTATTACATTTTGAGCCTGTTTGGTAGCACCAAAATCGGCTGTTTTGGCTGATTCTGCTGAAATTTATGATATTCTGGCTGGAGTGGCTGTTTTGGCTGATTCTGCTGATTTAAGAAAAAAATATTTTAAAAATATATTTTATTAATAAATTAAAGAAAAAATTATATGTAAAATAGCTAAAATGGTCCTCTACAGTAACTTCAGCCAATACAGCCATAAAAGTAACTCCAACCTTACTTTTTCGGCTTATTACACAATTCAGCGCGCGAAAGTAAAAGTTACGTGTTTGGTGAAAAAGCTGGCTGATAAGCCTGATAAGCCGAAAACAGAGTTCTCCAAACGGGCTCTTTTATTCTCATACAGAGTATAATGGTGGTGATTGTGAAACTCAATTCATGGTATCTCTCATTTTACTTCACCACCACACACACCAGAACATAACGGAATAGCCGAGCACCTCGTAACATTCTTGAAACCGGTCGATCTTGCCCTCCTAATCCTCTCTAACCATTGTGGTATGAGCAGTGGCGGAGCCAGCGATTCATTTGAGTTGTGTCAATTTTTAAACTAAATTCTACTTCTATGACATAATTTTAAACACTTTATTGATGACTATACATTTTTTTCAATTATTTGAGCCAAACTTTTGGCTTTAATACCAAAATACCACCCTGCATATACAACCTTTAGATAAACTAATCGGATGGTCAAGATTAGTTTATAGTTTGTAAATTATGAGAGGTTTGTATTTGATCTCTTATATATGTATTTGACTTTGTATATATATATATTTGAATAGTTGGGAATGAATTAATTATTTCTATAATTTGTTTCACTATTCTTAAATGGTGATAGTTTCAGTATTATCTAACATTATGTTCCCTTTAATATATTGTACATTTTTTTCATTGTTGGTACTTTCAAACACTTTATATATTGATAAGAATTTTTAATATAGATAAATACTCCCTCCGTCCCGGAAAACTCTTCTTACTTTGACTTGGATCGGAGTTTAATGCAAGTGATAAATGACATTGACTTTCCATGTATACCCCTATACTAAAGAAAGAAGCGGCTGAAAGGGAAGGAGGTAAATTTTTTTAGTGCAAGTACAATAAAGCTAAATTTGATGTGATAGCTGCAAAACAAGGGATAATTCCGTGTGCTAAATTTAATTCCGTGTACAATCCAGGTTGTTTTGGAAATCCTACTTACATAAAAAGTTCCCTCCAAAATTTCTCTCCTCTTTTACTATCTATAAATACACTTTCCAAAAGTAGAGTTTACTACACACAGCACACACAACATATGGCAGCCAACATAAATGTTGCCCAGTCTTCTTCTTCCCATTATGCACCTTCCATAAATGAAGATTTGGCTTCATCTCCCTTAACTGCTTCTGCACCTTCCATAAATGAAGACTTGCCTTCATCTTCATTAGGCTCTTCTGCAGATCTGCAAACAACACTACAAGACCCAAACTCAAATACCAAAGCAAAAAGATTAGGAAACAAGGAAAGAGAGAGCATAGTAGATGAAATGTTAATCACTGCTAAAAGAGATATTTCCGAGGCATTAGTAGCTCAGAGAGGTGTGTTTTCTAAGCTTGCCACTAAATACTCAGTGACTAGAAGAACTATTTTCAACATTTGGAACACAGCCAAAGAGCAACTTGAAAAAGGGGATGCTGTAGATGTAACAACAAAGTGGCTGGGAAAATCAGGCAGAAACGAGCCCTTCCTGCGTGCCACAAATGACCTACGAAAAAGAAAAATCCTAGAACAAAATGTGGCTTTCCCCTCTATGCCACAAAAAGGCTGTCTTAGAAGTGAAACCTCTCTGCCACTCCAAAGAAAGAGTAGGATTCTATCTTGGTGGACTATGTTCACTCTTTTCCTCTACTTAGCTAGCAGCAACCGAGGACTCATCCAATCCAATGATTTGCCTCTCCTTAGACACTTATTGATTGAATTTGGCTCAACTGAAACGACTTTTAAGAAAATGGTCATCTGAATTGGATGTTGTCATTTTTAATAGAAACAAATAAAAAAATCTAACTTTTGAAGACTCAGTAACTTATGAAAGGAATCTATGTTATTTTTGAGTTATGAAAAAAATCTATGTTAACTTTTGAAGACACTTGCCTCTACTTTTTCAGTATCAAGGTCAACCATTCACAAGCTGGTTCACAGAGGTATTCTCAGAAGTCACACTAATGCTATAAAGCCTTTGCTAAGTGACACAAACAGGATGTCAAGACTGAATTTCTGTTATAGGCAGGTAGACACATCAATCCCAGAAAAACCAGTTTTTATAAACTTTCAGAATGTCATACACATAGATGAAAAATGATTTTTCCTGTCCAAAACATCACAAAGATACTACATGGGCCTACAAGAGCAGGATCCACATAGAGTATGCAAATCCAAAAGATTCATAACTAAAGCGGTGTCACTGGAGCAGTTGGTAGGCCTCTATTTGCAGATAATGGAGATGTAATTTGGTATGGAAAAATTGGAATTTTCCCATTTGTTGAGAAAGTGGCAGCCAAAAGAAAAAGCAAAAACAGAAATGCGCGGGTCATGGAAACCAAGCCTATACTTAACATTACAAAGGCAGTGTTTAAAGACATGCTAATCAGCTAGTGCTACCTGCAATCAAGGACAAATGGCCTGAACAATTAAGCAAGGAAATCATTATCCAACAGGATAATACAAGGCCACACATTCTAGATTTTGATCCAGATTTTATGGCTATCTCTAAAGGAGATGAGTTTAACATTACCCTTACTAATTAGTCCCCTAATTCCCCAAATCTCAACATACTAGACCTTGGATTCTTTATGGCGATCCAGTCTCTAAAAGACCGGAAAGCATCTAAGAATGTGGATGAAATGCTACAGGCAGTTGAGGCATTTTATGAGCGTTCACCCATGACTCTCAACAAGGTGTGGCTTAGCTTTCAATATGTTATGTTAGATATTTTCAAAGTGGAGGGGGGGGGGGGCTACAAGCTACCACATAATGAAAAGGATAGAATGATTGCAGAAGGAACTCTGCCCACAAGCATAGAGGTTGATGTGGAGCTGCTTGATGCTGTAAGAGGTCTTTTATCCCAACCAGTAAATACCACCAGTACTAATCAAGACTCAGAAGAGCCAAATAATGGGGAGTTCATACTAGAATATGATGAGGAGTAGTTCATCTTCAGTCATGAACTCTATCCATTATTGTATAGGTCTGATTTTTTGTCATTTTGTAAAGGCCTATACTTATTTAAATGTAGAAAAGGTCACATTGCAAAGGTCTGTTTTTGTGAATTAGTACTAGCCTGTATTTGTAGCTACTCAGAATTGAATTCACCATTGTGCTCTCATGATATATAATAATAAATATCATTTTTATAAATCACATTATTTGTTTATAAAATGATTAATGATCATGTTTTTTTTTTACCCCAGAAGGTCAACCACCAAAATCAGTGGGGTAAATGCCAGGGAACATTTACCAGATTTTATTAATGTGGAGATTACACAAACAATCGAGGGGGCCAAGCCTTACCCGACAAAAGTAAAACAAAACAAAATCAGTATCTAAAGGACGGAATGCCATAGAAGTCCATCCAATAAGAGCGTTTAACAAAAATAGGAAGTTGATCGACCTGAATATAAATTTTTGATGATCATGTAAATTAACAATTGAGCTTTATTTTTAATAAATCTCCAACAATAATTGATTGGTTTCATTCATAATTAATGGTTTACTTTCTTAATTGTTGATGATTCTATATTGAGCGTTGGTGTTATAATTTGTTGATTTTTCTAGATTTTTTTTAGATAATACTTTAATTCATAAATTTAATTAATTTTAATGTGTAATAGAAATGATTGAGTTTGAATATGATCAACAATAAAAGAAGAGAAATTAGAGAAAGCGACGCTAAAGAAGGTTTGGATAATGAAATCAAATTCTGAATGCCCTCATCAAGAGGAGAACTCAGAGAAGAAAAATAATTTAGCTAACGAAAATGAAACGATTCAAAATGATCACTTCATTGGATGAAGAAATTTAGGAGTAGGTATTAATTAAGCTGGCTCCTTAATTAGGACTAAAA